GTCATGTATTCCTTAACTTGTTCGGACAGATTTTATGCGAAAATGAGCCTTACTCGTGTCTTTTTTAATTTTTGTACATGTCTGGGTGCATATAGCAAATAAACAGAAGTTTGGCTTTTTATGTCTAGAAGACCAAGCATTGTTATTATTCTCTTAGGTTCCAAGTGGAACACAGGGTTTCAGCATCTTTAGCTGATTCCATGGTAACTCGCCCATAACCCCCACCTCCCACTATAACATCTTCGGAAACACAGCCTACTCCTGATTTTCCCATCGGGTTCCACTCGAGGGTAGGCTTAGAGCCCGATGTCATCCAATGGTTTCCTCAGGGTGTATCCGATTCTTCACCGCTTTCTTCAGTATATAAGTTGGGCAATAAGTTCTTGGTCTTTTCGCTGCCTGCTAGAGTTTCTTGTTTCGTGGATGACTTATGTCTGATGTCACACAAAATCGAAGACTTACAAGCGAAAACCGACAAACTGGTTGAAGAAGCTGCCAGAGAAGACAGGACTCCAGGTGAACAAAGACAAGACGGAGGTTATAAAAATAACCAAACAACCAACCAACAACAACAGCGGAAGCAACATCCAGCGCCAATCACCATCAACGGGAGGGATTTGAAAGAGGTTACTTCATTCACTTCACTTATCTTGGGAGCATTGTCTCCACTACAGGAGGAACGGACGAAGATGTCAAATCGAGCGGGAATCGGGAAGGCGAGAAACACATTCATCAACCTGAAACCAATCTGGAAATCTTCGCCACTCAGCCTGCATCAACAACAAAATTCGGATTTTCAATACAAACGTCAAGTCAGTCAGTTCTTCTATACGGATCAGAAACTTGGCGGGTCACAAAGAACATTTCCAACAGGTTGAAGACAGACCTTTATCAACAACTGTCTTCGTTCTATACTCAAGATCACATGGCCGGAAAGAATCACCAACAAGAAACTATGGGAACAAACAAAACAAGAACCAGTCGTTCAACAAATATGCAGTATAAAGTGGAGATGGATTGGACACTCGCTGAGGAGGCCGTTGGGTGACATCGCGCGTCAGGCCAACGCTCGAGTGGAACTCGAAAGGGAAGTGGCGAGTGGTTCGTCGGTGCAAGGGTGACATGGAGGAGATCGTGTGAAGAGGAGTTGAAACAGTATGGACTAACATGGATGCAGTTGAAAAGTACAGCAGAAGACAGAAGCAAGTGTAGACGTGTAGTTGAAGCCCTATGTTCCACTAGGAACCCAAGGGAACAATAATAAAAAGATAGAGTTTCTTGTTGCTAATCCTTTCTGGACCGCCATCTAGTCTTCAGTATGGAGCTAAAGATGGCAGCTACTGATGAAAGTCTGGTGTAGCCTGTTCGAAATGCTCAATTCCCAGAATCATGTAGTAGCTCTGATTTGACATGAGTGTTGAAAGTCCGAATCTTGTTCTTTATTCTGATTGCAGCAGATTTCCACACTGATATGATAAAACTTTGGATGGTAAATTCTATTGGTCTGAAAGACACCCACAATCAGGTGTGATATTATTCACCTGGCAACTTGAATATCATATTCCCGTCGTTTCTGTGTGCATCTCGGCTACAGCTGTCATTGTGTAACTCTAACACCCTTATTGAACTTCTCTTATGTATTGATTAATATTGGCAACAATGATTGTGACAACTCATCACTCCTATTACTTTGCTCTTTTGTGGAAAAAACTTAAATTTCAATGCTACTAAGCCTCTAAAGATGAATTAGCCTTAAACAGCCTCCTCGCCGAACTACTTGTTTTGTCTTCTCATTGATAATGGAACAGGGATTGTTCATGAATTCTATCAGTCAAGCTTGTAATGTCGTTGCCAAGCTAAATTGACCGGACATCGTGATGCATTGTGAACTGGTGCTAAATAGCTGGAGGCGATCGGCAGGACAGAAGCCCAGGACTTATTTTGTGTGCTTGTTGACACTCGACATCAAGAAATGTCATCAGCCTTGAGATTCAAACCCACATCACCCAGTTTCGCATTCACAGACGTTACGACCAACCTCCTGTACAACTGTAATGTTTACCAAATAAGCAAGAAACTGAGGTTCAAGGCTTTCTACCGATTGCCTTCAGCCGTCTAACATGAATTCTTTTATTTTGATTTATTTTTTTATTTTGATTTACAGCTTGATTCCACACCGTATTTTTCAGTACAAGTGTGGAATTTTCAGCATGGATATCGGTAGCCCAAATTCAGGCCGACCATAGATATCGGGTATGCGCCGGCAGGGGATCGAACCCCGGACCATGTGCATGGTCGGCGAGAGTCCTACCCACTGTGCCACCGACGCACAGGTTAATGAATAATCCTGTTGAATACTAAGTTGATTTTTGAGGATGAAAAACAGAAAACAGGTCACAAATTGCTTAAGTGCGTAGTTTATATATATATTATGTGGTTAAATTTGGTTTTCCAACAATTAAAACAAACTCCGTAATTTGGAAAATAAGAGTGAAATATAGTCCGATAATAATTACGCAATAACTTGGGATATCTTTTATTTCATCATTCTTAAGAATAAATCAATAATTTTATCGATAGAATCAGTAACGAAACTTTATCCAGAATTTCATTTCTCTGAGACAATACAGTCGGAAAATGAAAGTACTGAATAGTGCATATATAGTAGGTGAGAAGGACGATTCGGGAAAATGCCTCAATAAATGACAAGCTAAACCTCAACTGAAGACTAATCACTGACAGACGGTATCATTTCCTGGCTTATCTACACTCATATTGTTTGTCAGAGTTATACTGAACATCATGTTGATCGGTATTTATCGGAGTAAAGTACTCACTTTCTGTTGACGTACTGGCTCCTAGTATAGATGCGCTAGCGATTCTATAAGAGTAGCTGTATACCTCTGACGTCACTACACTAGAATACGTTTGGAGAATCATTGGCTTGAGGGACTTTATGATTGATTGATACCAGGATTACCTAATTACAAAGCAGTCACTTTAGGATTTCATCATGAGCTGACATTAGTTAAAGAACCATTGGGAAACCTGGGAGTGCTGGACAGCTGTTTTGTTCTAGTTTGGTATTCTTCATCAGCACGCACCCACCGCCACGGTTAGAACCCAGTACCTTCTGGTTACAAGGCAAGCTCGTATACCATTAAGCCACTGGGACCCGATTCAATGGCCCATGAATTCTAATTTCTGCCAATTGACGACATAGCGTGACCCCTAGCCAATGTCTTCGGCGAGTATTTGTCCTCACACCCGACCTGCTGCACCCTACTGGTCACGACTTTAGTCACTTTACTTTTCTCTTAATGACTAAAAGGAAATTATGACTTTGGATAATTCGTGTTACAGTTTCACATCGCCAACCGTCGTCGATAAGTTACTTTTCATGTGTGAAATTCGGCGGCCTGCTTGAGTCATTGGGTTATCTAACATAATGCATCATATATTCTCTAATTCTTATTGTCTTAATCATCATTCAGTCATGTCGTTGAGTCGCAAAGTGTACTCATGTATATTTTCGATTGGCTTTCAAACTATCTGGTGTGCACTTCGCGGAGACGCAGGAAAACTATATCATGAGAGATTGGTCTATGCTTCAGATCTTAAGGCGTTGCGTCGTGTGATTTACTACAGACTATTACTTTACTGAAGATAAGGCAGTATAACACATTTGGTTAATTTGCTGGAAATAAAAGTCTCTCTAATTGGGACACTGTGGTGAATGCATGATTCACCTAATAAAGTCTATGAAGTTCTGCGATCCTTCAGAATGACATTGAAGTAGCTAACAACGTCTCTTACCACGAATGCTGTTCATGTCTCTCTTGCACATCTCTACTGCCTCTTCTGGTTTTACACTTTTGTTAGGTTCAGTGTTTAGGTTTAGATTGGGGCCAGAGGCTAGATTAAGGTTGGGGTTAGGTTAACGTTGGGCAAGAGAGAATCATTCCCTTCACTAGTCTGTACGCTTAAATCTACAATTCACTAATGAAGTTATGAGCATTTTCACTCTGTCATTCTGATTAGTTGTTCAGGATCCCTTGGAGACTGCTGTTATATAAATTCACCTTAAGAAGTATGGGGCTAAATGCATCTGGCATATTGCTTGAGTGTTTATGCATCCTTTAGGCTGTTCACCCATTTCATGTCTCTCGTTATCGGATAAACACCAGAGTTATCCACTCCGGCGACTTCGTTTGAATGTTAACTGTCGCATGTAGAAGAACATCCGGCGTACATGATCTTATTTGATTGAAGGTAACTATCGGTCACATCTAGCATGGACATTTCATCCTATTAGGAACTATTTAGATGCGTTAATCTGCATCCCTAGTGTGTGACAGTGACCTTAGAAAGACTCGAAACCAGTGCCCATCTTTACTAACACCTTAGAGCTTTTCACTTTGTACAAATAAGAAGGTCCTAGAAGATCTGGATTTCGCAGATGGTTTATGTTTAATGTCACAAAAAACTAGAAGACTTGCAAGCGAAAACCAACAAACTGGCTGAAGAAGCAGCCAGTGAAGACTGGACTCCAGGTGAACACACAGAAGACGGCAGTGATGAAGATTCCTCAACAAATATGTAGGATAAAATGGAGACGGATCGGGCATACGTTGAGGAGGCCGTCAAATGACATCGCGCGCATCTCAGACCATAGCTTGAATAGAATTCGAATGGGAAGCGACAAGTGGGTCTTCGGTGCGAGGGTGGCATGGAGGAGATCGTGTGAGTGGGGGAGATGAGAGAGTATGGGCAATCGTGGGCCTAGCTAAAGAGGACAGTAGAGAATAAATTAAATGGGAGATGTGTTGTTGAGGCCCAATCTTCCACTAGGAACCCAAGGGAATAATAATAAATAATAATAGAGTTATTTACCCTTAAATTTCCATCACTATAAATTCTTTCAACCATCCTGCTTTTACATTTTTATAGAATTTCATCATCCTTCTGACAAACCGAATCAATCCTTTTTGTGAAGACTTTTTTGGAGGACAGATATGCCTTCGCCTACAACAGAAATAGGTAAGTCATTAAACAAGCTACTGTATTTTTGTGAGTAGTATAGGCTTCTTGAAGCACACATTTTTTTATATGATAATGGAAAGGATTTGTAACTCAGGAGGATGATTTTTGTGTGATTGTGTTCTTTGAGCTGGACGGTTTAGTCGAGAAGCTTTTGTTGTCTATCTAGACAGCATCTTCAGTGCACATTTCAAGTTGAAGTGAGCTTTTAGAATTTCCCACGAGTTTATTAGTCATCTCTCATGGTAACCTTGAATGTGATTGGTTGTTTTGTTTATTTCCTCAACCTCCAGTTCATTTGTATTGGTATTGATTGCCTCTATGTCCTGAAATTTAACATTTTGTTCATATGATTTCTTTCCTATGGGTCGGTAAATCTTGTCTATGTCAATGTGTCTGTCAATTGCCGATTCATCTGAATACCAGGCTTCCAGAAATTCGCTGAAACTTTTGGTGTTTCCTCTGCAAAGGATTGGAACATTATCCCAATCAAATTAGTGTCCTTGGCTATCTGTATGCAGTGATATTAGGGAGTGGATATTGTGTCTTTTGAAAGCTAGCTTATGTTCATGAATGCGAAGACAAAGTGGCTGTCCACTCTGGCCAAAGTAATGTTTTTCACAGTCGTTGCAATTTATCTTATTGATGATGTCGTTTTGATCTTCTTTCGTTGTTGCGTCTTTTGTTTGATATAGAACCGAGTGAAGTGATTTTGTTGGTTGGTGTGAGACATCATTTTGTTAAGTTTTTAAAAGTTTCACAGCGATTTCGAAGATGTCCCTCCAAAAATACAGATATCCACGAAACTTCATCAAAAGATATCTACATACAACCTAACCAACCAAATCAAAAGTCTCCCAATGAAAACACAAAGAAAATTGTCCTACCAAATATAAAGAACAATATCAGTGGACTGGAGGTTGAAAAAATACACAAAAACAACCAATCACGTTCAAGGTTACCATGAGAGATGACCAATAAACTCGTGAGAAATTCTAAAAGCCCACTTCAATTTGAAATGTGCACTGAAGATGTTGTCTAGATAGACAACGAAAAACGACGTTAGAGTTGGAAATTTCATCCAGAAGGAAATTGAAAGTTTCTCAACTAAATCAACGCTCTTAGAGAAAAAAGTTACAGCAATATAATCCACGAGAGCGGTAGTACTACTCCTGGGAGTGTCGTACTCACCATGCAGTTATATTAAATACAGACTAGAGGTCAAATTTTTCAGTTTTTATATAACGACTTCTACAATTCCGTCTTTAAAAATCATCTATTAACGAAGACTGAAGTGCATATTCTGAGGATACCTTTGAATGACATCAAACATTAGGCATTCAAGTGAGACCTGAATAAGAAATAGTGAGTTGAATGTTTAGGGGCGATGTGTAGGAGAGCACGTGAACAGGAAATAGAAGTATGTGGGCAGCTGCATAGTCAACAGGAGGTGATGTCATACAACTAAGTGGAATGGAGATATAATTCACATAATTACACAATTTGCATAATAGGAAATTATATAATACTACAGTGTTCAAGATCTGCGTGTCTTTTGGTGTCACTCAGATGACAGATAATCTGAATGGTGTCAAAACGTCCTCGCAACAAATAACTCTAAGGCAGGTGGTTTAGACTTCATAGAATATATATACATATACTATGGTAATGCGCCACTTTTTCATTTTACCCTCCATTTTATCTATCACTTTATTAAAACAAAAATTAGCAGGAGTCAATACATTGACCAATGGCAATGACATTGAACAATTGAAAAAACACTTACCACATGTGGATTTTGAAACTGGCTTAAAACATCGGAGTGAGTGTTGCATACATACTTCAATTCATCTTCACTTTCTTTATATCTGCATGTATGCATGTGCATGACATAACTCTAACTGATTATTACTAACTAACATTTGGATGCTTGACTACTTTTATACTAGTTTCCTCAGGAAAAGAAACATTCTGTTTTTAAAACAAACTCCACTGGTTAAAACACCTTCTCTCAGTTTATTTTTAAAGTTTGGAGAAGTTAATTATTAGTTGCATGCGTTAGCTTCATTTTTCAATTCCTTGTTTTCTGGAATTCGGTCTATACTTTTAGCATACAAAAATGACGTTCTTATTCGATCTTGAAGACATTTAGTTTGTCAATCATATAAATATCCTTGTCTATTGATTTTTTCAAGGCTGACCTGCATGACTTACACAAAACACCAATTAGGTTAAGAGTTGCGTAGAAACTGATTTTCGGATTAAAATGTCAACGTGATGACCATTCGCTGTATAATAAGAGGTAACATTAGGTTGATGACTGGAGCAAATAACCTCAATGGATTGATTACGCCTGTATTCACCAGCAGAGCTTGAAACATTTGCTCAAAATCCGGTTTTCTTGGATTTTCAATTGTTGGTTTCGCGAAATCCTATAGGTTTTCAAGTATTGGTTTTGTAGGGATTTCGTCTGATTGGATGGAGGATTTCATCATGAGCTGACACCTGTTAGAGAACCACTGGGCCATTGGGTCGGGTCTCAGTGGCTCAATGGTCTACGAGCTCGCCTTGTAACCAGAAGGTCCTGGGTTCGAACCCTGGGAGTGGTTGCGTACTGCTGAAGAGTCCCAAACCAGGACGAAACGACTGTCCAGTACTCCCAGGTTTTCCAATGGTTCTCTAACTGATGTCAGCTCATGATGAAATCCTCCATCCAATCAAATTCTATAGGTCCCAAGTTAGATCATGAACTGACGTCAGTTTGAGAAGTAGTGAAAATCAGAGAGTAATAGGCAGCTGTCTCGCTCTAGTTTGGGACTCTTCAAGAACACACACCCTATATAACTCAATCAGTGATAGAACCCATGGCCTTCGAGTCTCTAAATGAGCCCAGTGACCATTTAACCACTAGAAAAGAAATCCAATCCAATAGTGGGACTATCCAGGGTAGCTTTGGTTTGGCAGGGTACTATCCAGCCGATGTACTCCTATACCTCGTCTGCTTCACCAGCTAGTAGTAAGCAAGTGAAAACTGGAAGTCTGAGCATCACTGTTACTAAAACTTTAAATCTTGAAGCCACTTTTTCCACCTAATTGCAAATTAATCAAAATAAATGAAGAATATCGTTTTCGCCATAACAGTTACCCTAGACACAAATGTTTCTTATAATTGGAATAATGGTCATGCTGACATTTAGAGTTATCTCTCAGGATACAATGTACCTTTGAAGTTTATGGTATTTTCTAATCTTTAATTCTAACGTCCTTCTTTTTCGAAAACTTTTTTCCTATTTTTCTTACAAACCAAATATGGACATTTATAGCTAAAGTTAGGTAGTCTTTACATTAAGTCCTCCAGAATTGTGTTACCTGCATCTTAGGATTCTTCACGGATTGATATTGGTTAGAGAAACATTCAAAAACAAGCAGGGAATACTGTACAGCTGTTTGGCCCTAGTTTGAGACTCACCGGCAGCACGCATCTATCAGGTTTCGAACCCTGGACCTTCCAGTTTCAAGGCAGCCTGGTAGACCATTCACTCACTGGAACCCGACTGAACGACCAATGAATCCTAACTTCTACCAATTCTTGAGTTTAATGCTACCACCAGCTAGTGTCATTGCTGACAAGCATTTGTCCTCACCGGATGGGCCCCATTGGTAGCGATTTCTCATTAGAACTCCAGGCAACTTCATGCTGCAGCCAGTCACTAGCGAGCATCAGATTTATTCTTTGCTATTTTGTTGAGTTTTCGGACTCAGCTGCTGTTGACTGGAAATAAAACCACTTTTACAGACTTATCGATATCTCCTTTATTTGGCGATCTCAGTCATAGAATACATACATACCAGTGGTAACTGAGCTGCCTACTTCACAATATGGTGACATTCAAAACCAGTAATCCTGGATTCAAGTCTCACTCAGTACTTACAGATGATGTCTCACTAGTGTGGGCAAAGTAGACATTCTTTATTTGATGTAACTACTAGTCGATGACGTTAAACAGTAGAAGTTCAAGTGAACAACCAACCTCTTAACTTTGAAGCGGGCAATCAGAACAGACCAGACTAGTTCAAGTAAAATGACAGTAAATCCTTGGAGAAAACGCCTTTAGAAGAGCCTGGATAACAAAATGTTTGTCTGTTTTAAATTTGCACAATAATAACTGCCACTTCCTTGTGAAAGTAACGCCATTCATTAGCATGACCAGATATGAAAAACCTTCATCATTCTGAGACAAGTTTGGAAATCTTCTGCACTCTTCAGCATAAAGAACAAAATTCGGATTCTCAGCCAGTTCTTCTATATGGGTCAGATACTTGGCGCGTCATGAAAAGCACTTCTGAAAGGCTGCAGGCAATTATTAACAGCTGCCTCTGCTTCAAACGGAAGATCAGATGGCCAAAAATAATTAGCAACAAGAAACTATGCGAACAAACCAATCAAGGGCGAATTATTCAACAAATATTCCGAAAACAACGAAGCAAATGGAGATGGATCGGACACACGCGAAAAAGAACGTTGGGTGTCATTGAGAGCCAGGCCACAACTCAAGCGGAACCCAAAAGGGAAACGACGAGTTGGGCTTGGGTTGGAGGATGAGATGGGGGAGATTGCGAGAAGAGGAAATGACAGATTATGGGCAGTCATGGGGCCAGCTGAAGAGGACTTCAGGGAATAGGATAAAGTGGAGATGTGCTGTTGAAGTCCCATGTTCCACCGGGAATACATAAGTTACTTGCGGTTATGGTTTGGTTTTAGGCACTTTTTCTTCATGAAATCTACTCTACGAGCCCTGAATAATACTCGCTGTTCATAGTGAACTCGATTCCTACATCATGGCTACATTACTATCTGCTCAAATTCTGACTGGGGGATTCAAGATCATTCGAGATCTTATTTACATGGATAATTATTCCCCAAATTCATCCTTTTTCCCTCCTTATTCGAACACTGAATATTAAATTTTCTCTGACTTAATTCAAATTAACGGCCAACTCTATTAATTACACAGTAAAAGAAAAAAACACAACAATAAATACTTGACTATATTCAATGTATCAATGTTTATTGAAACATGTATCCGAAATCAAACACAATTATAATATTAATACTACTGTTTAGCGGAGAGCTGAAATAAATACTTAGTAATTTAACACCATTCAGTTGGCAGTTCAACAAGGTATCCATTTTGGTTTGTTACATTAGTCCTTAAATTTGATTCAGTATGGAAGTGTGCCAATATTTTTTCTTGGGATTTTCGCATGCAGAAACATTCAGTGATGCTCGAATTTCAGTGCTAAAACACTTTCAGTAGTTAGAATTCTGTTGTTCGGAGCAGATTTCTGATACGCCAAGCTGTGAATCACAACTTGATTATGATTATTATTCCCTTGAGTTCCCAGTAGAACATGGTGCTTCAACAACACATCTCCACTTTCTTCTACTTTGATGCTGTCCTCTTCAGATGGGTCCACGATTGCCCATAATCTCTCATCTCCTCCGTTTCATCCTCCGACCCACGCTCAACTCTCTGTTTCCCATTCGGACTCCATTCGAGGGTTGGGCTTACAGTACGATGTCACTCAACGGTCTTCTTCGTGTGTATCCAATACGCCTCAATTTTCTTCGACAAATCTGTTGGGCAATAAGTTCTTGGATGGTTCGCTGCCTGCCAGAGTTTATGGTTGCTAATTGTTTCTGGCTACCTGGTCTTCAGTCTGGAGCCAGAGAAAGCAGCTGTTGATGAAGATCTGGCGTAACCTATTCAAAATGCTTTCCGTGACACATCAAGTGTCTGACCGATATAGAAGAACTGACTTAACGTTTGTGTTGAAAATCCTAGTTTTGTTCTTTATACTGACGGCATTACGTGGAGGCTTCATTATTTGGAGAGGGTTTGAAACGCAACAAGACCTAGTGGCTGGAAGTCAATTTCTCAAGACGGTGGGCAACAGGGGCAGCTGTTTAGTTATCTAGTTTTGTCACCTTCTTTCATTAGCGCAGTCAAACCCATGACACTTATGAGAAGGGAATAATCAAGGTGCGTTTAATTGTGATCAGGCGACAAACCAGCCAAACACTTGGTAAAAAGTTCGTGATATCAGAATGGAAAACTGATAGGGCGCAAATTGTAGTGGATGAACAGTGTTACTACTTGATGCGCTGTCTCACAGTTCCTCTCATACGGAATGACGCAATCACTCCGAAATCTTTCTTCCACGGAATTCTTTTACATCACTGCCGTATTAATTGGAATGTGATTTACTGACTTAAATGGTGGACTTTCAACCAATGGGTCCCTAATTCGAAACCCTAGGCAACTACTTCAGTCTAGGCAGCTGGGTATTATGATCACTCCTCACGTATTTAGTGTAATCTGCGATGCGGTCGCAGAAGCAGCAAAGACAGGACTCCAGGTGAACATAGACAAGATGGAGGTTATGAAAATAACCAACCAACCAACAACAACAACAACAGCAACATCCAGCGCCAACCACCATCAACGGGAGGGATTTGAAAGAGGTTACTTCATTCACTTGTCTAGAGAGCATTGTCTCAACTACAGGCACGTGGAACGGACAAGGATGTCAAATCGATAATCGGGAAGGCAAGAAACACATTCATCAACCTGGAACCAATCTGGAAATCTTCGTCACTCAACTCAGCATCAACAACAAAATTCGGATTTTCAATACAAACGTCAAGTCAGTTTTGCTATACGGATCAGAAACTTGGCGGGTGTGTCACAAAGAATATTTCCAACAGCCTGTTGCACACCTTTATCAACAACTGTCTTCATTCTATACTGAAGATCAGAT